CCCTTTACGTAACTCACAATTTTTTGGAAGAACTCAGTTTAAAAGGTTGAAATTGATGTGGGACTTGATTAGTGTATTGTTTTGATTAATGAATTAAAGAAAGTGATATACAGTCAAGAAGAGCAACTATGTATGAATCATCTTGGTGTAAGATGATTGCTTTTTCTGTTCTGTCAAATGAAGGTAAAACTAAATTCGTTAAATGGAAAGTAAAGGAAGCCTTATCTACGGGATAGGTATACAAAGCACAAGAGAAATATCTAAGAAAACTTACANCTATAACTGTTGAAGGTCATAATTGATCACAAAGACTCATAATTGATAATGAAAATTTTGGTATCGATCCTAATATTCTATGATCGATCATGTCTTTTAAAGTTGTAATTTATATATCAAAAATGTTATAACTTAACTTTAAAAAATTATAATTTTTGGTACAGGTACAATTAGCGGTACGGTAGCTTTTCCCAAAACGTGTTTATTCTTCATTGTGTTGGCGTTGACCATCNTTATAACTGTTGAAGGTCATAATTGATCACAAAGACTCATAATTGATAATGAAAATTTCGGTATCGATCCTAATATTCTATGATCGATCATATCTTTTAAAGTTATAATTTATATATCAAAAATGTTATAACTTAACTTTAAAAAATTATAATTTTTGGTACAGGTACAATTAGTGGTACGGTAGCTTTTCCCAAAACGTGTTTATTCTTCATTGTGTTGGCGTTGACCATCGTAATATGACTGATATTTACAGCTCTTTAAATCCTATTGGTTCTAGTATTTGTTTATTTTAATTGTTTTTAGTACAGTTANTCATGAATTTTAATAATTAAAAAAATAAAAATTTTAATCGACTCGAAAATGAATTTTAATCAGCGCTAATAACTCGGGTAGAGTTCTAATCGGTGTTAACAAAAATATAAATTTTTTTTGTTGGAAATGATAGTTTAATGGTAGGGGGTGTTAGTGATGTTTAAATATAAAGTAAAAGAGGTGTCAGTGATGTTTTTGATAATAAATGGACTGTCCTTAAAGTTATAGTAAACTAGGAGGGATGTGGCTGAAATTTTTCCTAAAAACAATTACCATCATAGAACTCAAAAAAAAAACCGATAAAAATACCAATAAAAATTATAAAAACATCCACAAAAATTCTAAATTACCCATAAAAATTATAAAAACACCTGTTAAATTTTGGAAGTAAGGTAAATTTTTTTGGGTATCGTAGTCTTCTCCGAGAGTTTATGTGTATTTCGACTAATTTTCTCTCTAGTCTGGTAAAAGGTAGGATATCCACGTCGATATTAAGATATTTATGAGGGATAAATTCCTAATGACCTAACCCCAAAAGATAATTAAGTTTTAAATTCAGGATGTATGAGTTTATAGTTGATTCTTGTTATTTTATTTATTTACTAGTCATTACCCGTGCTTGAAGGCACTATACAACAAACAAAAATTTTTTAAACAATTGTTCAAATTCAAAAGAAATGACTTAAAAATATTCATACTAATTCTTCTTTTAAAATGACTCGAAATATGTGTTTGATCATTTTCTCCATATTAATGGAACAGTCATAAAAATATATAAAAACTTCTTAAAACAACACCATATATACAAATGCCTCTAGAAAAAAAAATATTAAACCATTGAAATTTACATTTTTTAAGTAGTAAATAAAATCTTGTTCATTTATACGACTGACGAATTTATCACCTCTCTTATCACTCAATCCAATAACACAATATAATTACAAAGTCAACCACTATATTTTCAATCTACTCTATTCCCATGTAATAAATAACTTAAACAAAACAAAAATACAAACAAAACATAACGATAAATAAAATTAACCAAATCATGTTTATTTATAAAACTCATGAATTTATCACCAATATTACCATTTAACCTTAAAATGACACAATATAATTATAAATTTGATCACCAATTGTCCAATCTTCCACATATAAATATATAAAGAAACACATCCACACATNACATGAATTTTAATAATTAAAAAAATAAAAATTTTAATCGACTCGAAAATAAATTTTAATCGGCGCTAATAACTCGGGTAGAGTTCTAATCGGTTTTAACAAAAATATAATTTTTTTTTGTTAGAAATGATAGTTTAATGGTAGGGGGTGTTAGTGATGTTTAAATATAAAGTAAAAGAGGTGTCAGTGATGTTTTTGATAATAAAGGGAGTGTCCTTAAAGTTATAGTAAACTAGGAGGGATGTGGTTGAAATTTTTCCTAAAAACAATTACCATCATAGAACTCAAAAAAAAAAACCGATAAAAATACCAATAAAAATTGTAAAAACATCCACAAAAATTCTAAATTACCCATAAAAATTATAAAAACACCTGTTAAATTTTGGAAGTAAGGTAAATTTTTTTGGGTATCGTAGTCTTCTCCGAGAGTTAGTTCATGTGTATTTCGACTAATTTTCTCTCCAGTCCGGTAAAAGGTAGGATATCCACGTCGAGATTAAGATATTTATGAGGGATAAATTCCTAATGACCTAATCCCAAAAGATAATTAAGTTTTAAATTCAGGATGTATGAGTTTATAGTTGGTTCTTGTTATTTTATTTATTTATTAGTCATTACCCGTGCTTGAAGACACTATACAACAAACAAAATTTTTTTAAACAATTGTTCAAATTCAAAAGAAATGACTTAAAAATATTCATACTAATTCTTCTTTTAAAATGACTCGAAATATGTGTTTGATCATTTTCTCCATATTAATGGAACAATCATAAAAATATATAAAAACTTCCTAAAACAACACCATATATACAAATGCCTCTAGAAAAAAAAATATTAAACCATTGAAATTTACATTTTTTAAGTAGTAAATAAAATCTTGTTCATTTATACGACTGACGAATTTATCACCTCTCTTATCACTCAATCCAATAACACAATATAATTACAAAGTCAACCACTATATTTTCAATCTACTCTATTCCCATGTAATAAATAACTTAAGCAAAAAAAAAAATACAAACAAAACATAACGATAAATAAAATTAACCAAATCATGCTTATTTATAAAACTCATGAATTTATCATCAATATTACCATTTAACCTTAAAATAACACAATATAATTATAAATTTGATCACCAATTGTCCAATCTTCCACATATAAATATATAAAGAAACACATCCACACATATTTCTTTTTTGATTACTAACAAACCCTCGTAACCAATAATTTTGTTTATTAGAAATACAATACTTCAAGTTTTTAAGATAAAATAATAATAAATTAATGTTTAATTAAAAAACAGTGTAAAAATCATGGACATCCCCTGAGTTTTGACAATATTACACGAATACTTTCTGACGTTTTATAAATAACATGAAGACCCCTGAGGTTTAAAATTCATTGCACGAAGACCCTCTCTATCTCTCTTTCGTCAATGTTGCTAATAAAAAATTGATAATTTCATCCTAAAATAATTTATTATTTTTACAACTGCCCTTCTCCAAATTTAGTATCAAAAAAATTAAAAATTTAATTTAATACCCAAAAAATTAATATAATTTAGTACTCCAAAAAAATTGATTAAATGAATTTCAATATTTAATTTGATAATAACAAAATTTAATTTGATATTAATTCGAAGAGTTGAATATAAATTAGACAAAATTAAATGTCAATTTTTGATAAAATTATATATTAATTTACAAATTAAGGTTCATTTTATGTTGAATATTATTTGATATTTATAATCAATGTGCTATTTTTTATTTACATTAAATATTATTTACAAATTAAGAAATAAGTGACAAAATACATGTTATCGGATATATAAAAACTTTGAATTAGTTTATGGGATAAATAGTTGTATAGGGGAAACAAAAAAAGAATGACAGAGAGTGTTATATGAGGGATGAGAGTATTAAAGTTGTAAAAATAATAAAAATTCAATTAGAACAATCGAATCAAAATGATCTGAGCCACGAAAAGATGAAAACAAACAATTTAATTATTTTATTATATAGATATAGATATTGGTATAGATAAATATATAGGACGGTATATGTTAATGAATTTATATTTTGTTAGAAATAATCCTTAATAGAGTTTTAATAGATATTAGATATATTTTTTTATTATTAGATATATATAATCGACCAAGTCAATCTCTCAAATTGTTTGAATGGGGAAGATGAGAGAGAGTTTGAATGAGACATATGAATGGAGATGAGGAGAGATAAAATGAATGTAGTAGAGTCCTGTAGAAAGTAAATTAATTAGGATCATCAGATCAATAATACTGCATTGATCTAAGTCACGAAAAGTTCAAGACAAACTAAGCTAGCTATTTTATTATATAAATTTTTTAATATTGAAAATTGAGAAATAAGAGAGCAATACAATATATTAAAGACATAGTNGTTGAATTATATTCAGATGTTGTCTTATTAAATTCAAGCTTTAGATCATTTTAAGTTGTGGGTATTGTTGATTTCTTTTGATTTTTCGATATTGATTGTCTTTGTTTCAAATGGCTTCGATATTTTCTGTGAGGTTACATAGATTGTAGGCCTTCGATTAGAACATTTAATCTTCTTTTTGCTTCACTTCTGTGGAGAGGGGGGGGGGCAATTCCTACATGANTTCGATATTGATTGTCTTCGTTTCAAATGGCTTCGATATTTTCTGTGAGGTTACATGGATTGTAGGCCTTCGATTAGAACATTTAATCTTCTTTTTGCTTCACTTCTGAAGAGGGGGGGGGGGGGGGGGGGGCTNTTGTCTTATTAAATTCAAGCTTTAGATCATTTTAAGTTGTGGGTATTGTTGATTTCTTTTGATTTTTCGATATTGATTGTCTTTGTTTCAAATGGCTTCGATATTTTCTGTGAGGTTACATAGATTGTAGGCCTTCGATTAGAACATTTAATCTTCTTTTTGCTTCACTTCTGTGGAGAGGGGGGGGGGGCAATTCCTACATGAACTACATCAATATGAAAACTATTAGAAGCCTGTTAAAGCAAATGGTCAACAATGAGGTTGAACCTGATGTTTTCGCCTTGAATTCTATGAGAAAAGGGTATGTGCTCTCGCTTCATGTTAATGACGCCCTCAGAATATTTCATCAGATGGGTATGGTCTATAACTACCAGGCCACTTCATTCTCTTATGACTATCTAATCCATGAGATGTGTGTCCAAAGCCGAACACACAATGCAAGGGAGCTGTGCACTGAAATGAAGAAGATGGATGAAAACCAAAGGTCAGTTAATTTCATCACCTATCGGATGGTCCTAAGGTCTTCCGACAACAAAGGTTTGGAGAAAAAAAAATGCGTTATGAAATGAACAACAAATGTCAGTTGATGTATGTGTTATACCATACATATATACATACATACATAAATACATGCGTGCTGATTTGTCTACTATTGTTATGAAATGAAATATTGAATTATTTATTTTTTGAATAGCTAAATGGAATTGTAAAGTACTGCTGGTTTGTGCCACATTCTGATATGTGAAAGTCCGTGCCAATAAAGTTTCTAATACTTCTGTTAAGCTTTTAGTTCTCTGATGCAAATGTTCTCTGTAAAAATCATGTCATGTGGTGATCAACACGTTGATGATATGGTTGAGAAGAGTTGCCACTCTTTTTGAAGTTTCCTTCTTTTAATAGGCATTTTTTTTTTGTTGAATTGTGCAAGTACATTGTTTGATATATTATTTTATTCTGAATTTATGTTCCAATTAATTAGATGCAAGTGTGGATTGTAACCTTTAATAGGCTTTTTATGTTGTTTTCATAATTTTGACCTTACTCTTGGAATATNAGACATATGAATGGAGATGAGGAGAGATAAAATGAATGTAGTAGAGTCCTGTAGAAAGTAAATTAATTAGGATCATCAGATCAATAATACTGCATTGATCTAAGTCACGAAAAGTTCAAGACAAACTAAACTAGCTATTTTATTATATAAATTTTTTAATATTGAAAATTGAGAAATAAGAGAGCAATACAATATATTAAAGACATAGTTTAAAAAAAAAACTCAGTAATTCTAAGCTAGTCTATGGGTGTGTATTTGACTCTACTTGATTCTTTGTTGAGTTTGGTAGTTGGTCGGATTGCAATGTACCAATATAGTCCATAGTAAGGCCCTATCTTGTTATTCCCACTTTGGATGTTGATGAAGAATATCTTTAATATCTTGTATGATCGAGCTGAGAGACCAGTGAGATTTGAAATGAGAAGCATGATAGAGCGAACTAATTGAGGTTTTTTTGTTTGCTTTTTTACTATTCCTATAGTCAACCCAAGTAGCTAACAGAGCCACCTGGTTTAGAATCCAATGACGTGGCAAGAATCCAACAGGCGCAGAACACGTGGAATCTTTGTAATTTTTTATAATATTTCTACCAACTCTCTTTCATTATGGTGGAAGAATGACACTGATCTCTATCCAGAAACTCATTGATAATTTTGACGGTATGCTTTAACTGTCTAACACCACTCAAATCTATATAATAAAGTAGGAAATTGAAGGTATAAAAATTAATTTTTATTTTTTGTAGTTAAGATTGTTTTAAATTTTATTTTAAAATTAATTTGATGGCTAATATTAACTTTTCAAATTTAATAAAAATAAATAAATTCTTAAATGTGTGTTTGAAGTAATTTTTTAAAAGTGTTTTTAAAAAATTAATATTTAGAATAATTTATTTTAATTATTTCCAAATAAGTCAAAAAGTAATTTTATCACTTAAATAAATAAGTAAAAATAAAAACTAATAACTACTATTTATTTAAAATCACTTATCTACAAAACTCTTCACCACCACTACTGTTGTCGCTACTCCACCACCACACCCCCCAATATTATTGCCACCACACTACCACCGTTGTCGCCCCACCCCCCATCGTCACCGCCATCATTGTCACCAGCTCTACCACAACCACCATCGGTATCGCCATCGCCATCTCCATCGTCACCACACATTACTATTATCACTATCGTCACCCACCGCGCCACCACCTACCACCATCATAATATCATTCTTATATTTATTATCATTACCACCATTATTGTCTACCACCACCTGTTGTTGCCCACCACCGTCGCCATTCACCGACACCCACTCCCACCACACTTACCACCACCACCACCACTTATCATTGCCCACTACTGCCGCCCACCCCATAGTCACCCACCACTAGTATTGTCGCCCACAAGTGCCCATCATCGCCCACCATCACTCACGCCCACTATTCCCATCGTTACTGCCCCATCACCACAATCCACCATTGACATTAGTACCGTCATCACCCCATCACCATCACTGCCAACTATCATCATCGTCGTCCATCACCACTGTCATCATCGTCACTCATTACTGCCACTACCATTATAATCAGCCAAAATCTAGTACCACCATCACTATCGCCACTCACAACTACCACCATCACCACGATCATCGTCGTCCACCACAACCATTACATTATCCCACCGCAACCATCACAGTATCCCACCACCACCGCTGTCGTCCACCACCACTTACCCCCATTACAACTGGTGGTTAAATTCTTTTCTTTCTCCTCTTTATTTTTTATTTGATTTTTGTTGTGAATACAAATATGCTTATATTTGACAAATTTTTTTATTACTCCATGCTTTTAGGCATAGGTAAAAACTAATTATTATATATATCTATACTACTTTGAAATACCAATATATTTGAAAAACTTTTTTTTCCACTTTTATTCTCCAAAAAGATAAATCTATCATTCTTATCCTTCAAAATTAATACCTTCCTAAACCTAAATCATCTACTACTCCTAAATTTTTTGTTGTTACTTCTCTCGCTCTCTCTCTCTTATTCTTGCCTATTTACCTGCCTTCTAAATTATTTGTCGTTACTTCTCTCTCTCTTGCCTATTCACTTGCCTCTTAAATATCCTACCTATTCACTTCTAAAAATCCCTGACTAGTCCATAATTTGCATTGATTTGGAATAGTGAATAAGCTCTCGTTTTGAAGAATATGAATGCATCATCTTTTTTTTTTCCCTGCATCGTAGTTTCTATGACTATTTCCTTGAGGTAAATTTTCTCCTCATTTGCTTACTTTATTTGTTGATGATTTTTTCTTGATTCGGATTTTTTTTTGGGGTAGGAGTTGCCTTTGTTTTTGGATTTGTGCACTTTCATTCTCTCCTGTGGGTATTGTAAGTTTTTTGTTTACCTTGGGTTGAATTATATTCAGATGTTGTCTTATTAAATTCAAGCTTTAGATCATTTTAAGTTGTGGGTATTGTTGATTTCTTTTGATTTTTCGATATTGATTGTCTTTGTTTCAAATGGCTTCGATATTTTCTGTGAGGTTACATAGATTGTAGGCCTTCGATTAGAACATTTAATCTTCTTTTTGCTTCACTTCTGTGGAGAGGGGGGGGGGGCAATTCCTACATGAACTACATCAATATGAAAACTATTAGAAGCCTGTTAAAGCAAATGGTCAACAATGAGGTTGAACCTGATGTTTTCGCCTTGAATTCTATGAGAAAAGGGTATGTGCTCTCGCTTCATGTTAATGACGCCCTCAGAATATTTCATCAGATGGGTATGGTCTATAACTACCAGGCCACTTCATTCTCTTATGACTATCTAATCCATGAGATGTGTGTCCAAAGCCGAACACACAATGCAAGGGAGCTGTGCACTGAAATGAAGAAGATGGATGAAAACCAAAGGTCAGTTAATTTCATCACCTATCGGATGGTCCTAAGGTCTTCCGACAACAAAGGTTTGGAGAAAAAAAAATGCGTTATGAAATGAACAACAAATGTCAGTTGATGTATGTGTTATACCATACATATATACATACATACATAAATACATGCGTGCTGATTTGTCTACTATTGTTATGAAATGAAATATTGAATTATTTATTTTTTGAATAGCTAAATGGAATTGTAAAGTACTGCTGGTTTGTGCCACATTCTGATATGTGAAAGTCCGTGCCAATAAAGTTTCTAATACTTCTGTTAAGCTTTTAGTTCTCTGATGCAAATGTTCTCTGTAAAAATCATGTCATGTGGTGATCAACACGTTGATGATATGGTTGAGAAGAGTTGCCACTCTTTTTGAAGTTTCCTTCTTTTAATAGGCATTTTTTTTTTGTTGAATTGTGCAAGTACATTGTTTGATATATTATTTTATTCTGAATTTATGTTCCAATTAATTAGATGCAAGTGTGGATTGTAACCTTTAATAGGCTTTTTATGTTGTTTTCATAATTTTGACCTTACTCTTGGAATACATGAAATAACCTTGCAATGACATAAAAGCCAATATAAAGTCTAAAAACTACTTGATCTTATTAGAATGATGAAAGATCTTTTGTGAAATTTCCTTGTAAACAATTGATTTTTATGATGTGTCGTGCCTCAATAGAGACAATTGTGAGCAAGCTCACCCTTTCCAATCTAAAAATTGATTTTTTTTACTACAATGTTCGCTACAAAATCACTTTTCTAACAAACTAAGCAAGAACCACCATAAAATCTTTCAATTCCTCACATTGTATATTGACCTTTTGTTTTCTGTCATTTCTATTGAAATAGCCATTTGATTCCTTCAGTTTGTGTTATGTTGCCCACTAATTTATATTTATTATAATTTATTTTCCATTAATACTCTATTATCTTTCATATTCTCACTTTTTAACGTCAATTCCCAGTGTGCAATGCATATATCATCCATAATGAAGTGGAACTGAATGCTTCCTACTCCATATTCTCGCTTCACTCTCCTAAGAACCCTGTGTTTTCAATGCAAACACCTTTCTATGTCTCTTTTTGGCTCTCGCACCACGTGTTTGTGAAATCAATGGATTGTTTCAATAGGTACTGATTCTCTCTCCCTCTTTACACACAACTTATGTTTTAAATTTAAAGCCTTAGAATTCCATCCGTCAACTGTGTAAACACCTTGGTAAACACTCCGCAACAGTTCCCTTTCTTCAACTTATTTACTCGAGCTTGCTTGCAGATTCTAATGTGTGTGCAAATTTGTTGACTAGATTATACCAAAAATACAAAGAACAAAATTATTGAGATTTCACGATTAATAGTGTCCTTAAATCTTAGAAGAGAAAATCTCCATGAACGAAGTTTAGTTGCAATGAGAACAGGTTTATAAGATGAATGGCTTGTGATGGGCCAAGTCCAAGGGCCCAACTTATATTATGATCCCGGTTTGAATTAATAGTCCAATTCCAGGAGATCCAGCAAGTCAAGTCCAAAGTGGTCCACGTCCATCAGGTTCAAAGAGCTACGTCAGTAGGGGAGCATGCACGGTCATCCAAGAGCCTCTACGCCGCTTTGGAAAGAGTCAACACTCACCTCATCCTTTGACTGAATCTTATAGAGAACACCATAACTATCTCGTCCGTTAAGAAGAGGTCGCCACTTTCACTGGAATAGCCACTTGATTATTAACAACTCGTCCCAATCTGTTATG